TAAATTATTCAAGAAATAAATTTTCATAGGATTGCCTACTCTGCAGCTCAGCCCAAGCACAGTCGCTGCTTACTGCTCAGTTAGCAGAGCGCGTTTTAAGACGTGCGTCTCGACTAGAGCCTTCTTACTTGTTTATCATATCAAACGTACTTCTTCTAGTATCTATTAGTTTTTAGGTGATCTGTTGCTATTTTTAATTGCTTTAATACATATATATGCTTTTATAATGTATACACCAAAATATATAATATTATATAAATAATGAATTCTAATATTAATTATATATATGTAATCTTCTCTTTCTTCTTTCCTGTTCCATCCTTGCCCACTCTATTAGCAGTGCTGACCACGGATTTTGCACTGCATAAATATCGCGCGCTAATCGCAACACTGGCTCACCAAACATGGCTTCGCTCCACAGAACTCAACAAGAAATCAAACAATCAACAATCAAGCAACAGCAACAAATGCAACAATCAGCACATCTAATAATAACAACAACAACAGAGGAAAGACATCATTGCAGATCGCTAGAAAAATGAAACAAAAAGAGAATCAAAGCGAAATGTTTATTACAAATTTTGCCTCTAATATGAAAGCGACTTAAAGCTACGAAAATAGGGAAAGAGAAACTGACTTTTGAAGGGTCAAGTGCATCATACACCCATTCACACACACAGACACACACACAAAGCACATCTACACCCACACATACGCACACACATGCACACTGTTACTCCACCCTCACATCCATACGGAACACAGAGAAAGGGCAGCTGCAAAAACTGATCTGCGTCATTGTAAAACGTTTCAACGAATTTCCAAAATAGTCTACAGCAAATATAAAACAAATAAATAAATCGAGCAAAGCCGTAATCTTGAAAAATTCTCGAAGTAAATAATATACAAAAAAAAAAGATAACAACAAAAAATCAAATAGTAAACAAAAAAGTAAAGTTTAGAAATTTGCTCTGTGATTTTCTATCAGAATGGTTTATTAATAATCCAAATAAATTTAATAATTATAATAAATACAAAATATTATATTTATAAAAATTGCCTAATTGCATTCAAAACCAAATGTTATTTAAATATATATACATAAAGAGAGAAGCTTTAAAAATTCCCAAAACCAAGACAAAACCAACTAAAAGCCAACAAAAAATTCTACAAAGTCATTAATTAATTCATTTATTATAGCATCAATTTGCTAACTAATAGTTGCACTAACTAATATTTAGTTTGTATGTGCGAAACACACACATAAAAACACACAGAACCACTTCGGGAACCAGTTACAGCAGAGCGCCATGGACGAAATGCCAGATTTGTCGCATCTGACGCCGCACGAGCGCATGCAAATTGAAAATGTGCTCATGCGGCAGAAGCAGGAGGAGGAGAAGCAAAATGAGATAATGCGGTAAGTAGATTTGATGGTACATGACAGACGATACTATCATATCATATAAATAAGGGATATCAGATAACGGGCAATACAAATAGCAGATGTAAGACAACACTTGTTTTGAATTGTCTTTTAATACCCTGAGCCCATTGAAAATGGGAAATCAGGGTATAATGGTTTTGTTAAAAGCATGTAACAGACAGAAGGAGACGTGGCAGACCCCATAAAGTATATATATTCTTGATCAGCACGACGAGCTGAGTCTATATAGCCCTGTCCGTCTGTCTGTCCGTCCATCTGTGTGTCCGTTCGTCTGTCCATCTGTCCGAAAATATCGAATTTCTTGACTTTTAATAAATAAAGAAATATAAAATCGCACAAAAGATTAGAGTAGCATATATAACGTGGAAGCTCTCCCATCTTTCTCAGCCGGTGGTACCTCCACCAGATATTTACAAATGACTTGATAGGCAAATTGACAATCTTTAGTTAATCCTAACTATTTTCTAATCAAATCATTTATAGATTCTGAAAATCCGCATATATAATTCCCAATTGCTGTTTTGTAACAATGTTCAGAAATAATTTTCTCAAATTATGTACTTATTACAGGATGTATGTATATTATATATTTCATATTAGATAAGTTCCGATAGATCAAAAGTTAAATAAATGGTAAATAATAATATCATCATATGGGAAAATTGAAACCAATTTAAACACTTTGATCTAGAGGTAAAGCGACCTCAGATTTAGGGACTACCTTTAGAACTGTTATCTTGTTAAGCTGTCTGATATCTAACCAAAATTCGCATTCAAATGGATTTTCACAGACGCAAACAGGACGAGGTCGTTACGCTGGAGATGCAAATCAGGCAGCGATCCGAGCAGCAGAAGAAGGCCGGCGTCGAGCTGGATGCCACCTGTCACATATGCCTTAAGACCAAGTTTGCCGATGGCGTTGGCCACATTTGCCATTATTGCAACATACGCTGCTGCGCCCGCTGCGGTGGCAAAGTAACCCTGCGCAGCAACAAGGTAAGTGCAAGCACACCTCGCTCTCTCACCCTCTCTCTCTCTATCTCTCTCTGGGCCCCTCTCTGGCTCACTCGTCTTGTCTTCTTACTATCCATGGGAGTTGACAGCGTGACAGATTTTACAGTTGGCAATTTCAAGAGCCATTAGACGCGGCTGTCACTCGACGACGTGTGGAGCCAGCTCCATGCGGGGCGAATTGAAGGCTAGGAAAAAGCAAAGCGTGGAGAGCTTTGCTCATTTTCCAGCCATTGATAAATTAGATGACACTCTGTCGCCAACTATACTGGCGTCCTCCGCGGCTGCTGCTGCTCATTGAATCGACCCCATCGCTCATATGCTCCCTTGGCCAGCGCTGGCTTTAACAAGTGCCCAAACGCCGCGTGCACCACGCATAAATAATCGCCATCGCAAATCTAGCCGAACGCTTGCCCACCCAAAGCCCAGTCAATATTTATTGGGCGTTTAGATTTTGTTATTTTTATTTTTTTATTAGTTTTATATGACAATGTTTTGGGGGTCAATTCGACACTTGATTTCTGGCAGTGAGAGGCGCTAGAGCAGCTGCCAAGGCTACTGAAATTTAAGATTAGAATAGCTAAAGCCTTTAGCTGCGAAGGGAAACAAACTCTTAAGTCATTTCTAATCGAATAAAGTGCACTCTATCGAGTTTTCAGATTGACTATCGAACTATCCATACCTATTTAAATCTAATTACCTTATAATCCTTCAGAGCTATCCAAATGGATTAAGGGAATATTGTCAAAATTAACGTTACAGGAAAACAGAGGCCTGTCTTGCCCCAATCTATCATTTATTATTAAATAAAATTTTTGGCCAATCCACGTGGCAAGCAGCGCTCAATAGCGTCAGACAGGTTTCCTATGTTCGTGGTAGTTCAGAGCCTTCGGAGCGACTTCCTTCGGAAATGAAATGGGTTGTCAGCGACACAGAACGCGTTTTTCTCAAATCTTTCGAGTACCGAATACTGGAGTAAAGCGCTCTTTTATCATTTTAATGAAAAATACCTATTCTAGTATTTGGGACGAATCATAAATTTATTACTGGAAAACAAATTGAAAAAATTTAGCTATTCTAATCCTTAAAAAAAATCGAAAAATATTGCTAAATCGATTTTTTAAAGTTGCATATAATATATCATATTGAGAATTTTCAAAACCTAAAATATCATCGATACGCTATTAAAAAAAAATAAAATATTCGATAAACCTAGATTCTAGGAACATACATTTTAAATGTATGAATTTCCCATTACAAATAGATAGTTTAAGTATCATCGTGATTAAGCTGATGTTGATAGAGAACATGCTCACGTAAGGAATGGGAATCGAATCTATTGAACCCACTGCCGCTGTTGCATTATAATATTAGAAGCACTAAAAATGTCCGATGCTTTATATGAGCACAGAGATGCTCATCCGATCACCATGGCAGGAAAGGCGAATTCCAAAAACATATTTCATTAAAATAAATGAATATATTTAGTTTAACAGGAAAAGCTTCAACTAGTTGACACGCAAAGAACTTACAGCATCTCTAGTACATCTAGAGCGTATAGATTTTGGTTACCATATTGAAATTTAACAAAATGCAATTGCCTTTGGGCTGGGCCGAGACTTGGGGCTGAGCGTTTCAGCAGTTGGCACACCATTTCACATTGCATTGCATTTCAATTACACGTTTTTCAATTTTTATTTAAGCCAGCGAGCCGTGACGGTCTGGCTGGTTGGCTGGCTTTCTATTGACATGGCGGGTTATCATTTGCTGGCCACGTTGCCAAACGTTTTGTTGAAGCTTTGCCAAGATGTCACACACAGGTACAGACACAGACACAGGCACACTGACACACACATGCATAGACATTCACACACATAGGATAGGTGGAAGTGCAACGTCTTTAGCAAATTTCTGCATAGAGAGGAACGCGATGGAGAATTGCGATTTGGCTCTGGCTCTTCCGACCATCTCAACTTTGATTGAAATGAGAGGCGCGGAATATGAGCGACATGTGAAGCAAGTGATAAAAATTCTGTTGCCTCTGCCCCATATCATGCTCCACTTCGGGCTGGAGACTGCTTTCATTATCCACGCTATACTCCACTTGGTCGTCGAGCTCGTGTTGCTGCTCCTCCTCTGCCTCTTCCTCTGCCTCTTCCTCTTCTTCTTCCTCCTCTTCCCCCTCTGCCAGCTCTGTCGTATGCCAGCAAAAGTGAAAACTGCAAAAGCCCGCAAAGTATTCCCCTCGGCTGCGTTCTATATACGTAATAAGGTGGCAGCTGAAGGCGTTCCACAGCTCCCACAGCTCATTGAAGTAGAAGAGCAGTGTGGTGGGCGCAATGAAATGATGCAAATGATTCTCATCTAAAGGTTGTGACATATTCCCCCCCGAAAAAAAAAAAAAAACAAAACAAAAAAATCAAACGCAAAACTAGAAACTAAGTGAATATTTTTGGTTGGCAGCTACTGACGTTAATCTCACTCACTTGATTCATCTCCGCTTGCAGGTGATCTGGGTGTGTATCCTGTGCCGCAAGAAACAGGAGCTATTGTCCAAAACAGGCCAATGGATAAACAAGTCGGCGGTGCAGCAAGATGGTTTCATACGGCGCATCGAACCCGATGGCAGCAGCGTAAGAGGATCGAATTCAAAGCTAAAGGGAAACCAAGTTAGCTAATCCTCTCTATTTCTCTCTCCCATCCTCTCCTTGCAGGACATCTCACAGCAGGCCATTGTCGACCCACGCGACTCTGCGGACAAGCGGCCCAAGTTGGAGCGCACGCGCAGCGCTGCCGAGAAGGAGAACCTACCCATCCAGCGGGCTGGCAGCATGCTGCGTCGCCAATATTCGCAGCAGGAGCAGCCAACGAATCGTCGCCTCTCCGTCTCCGACAGCGGATTGGAGCCCCTGAGTCCTGGCCAACAGCAGATGCAGCAACAGCAGCTGCCGCAGCGCCAGCGCATGCAGCCCATGAATCCGCAGCAGGCGCAGCAGTATCAACTCCAGCAGCAACAGCTGCAGCAGCAGCAGCAGCAACAAATGGGCTACGGACAGCAGCAACATCCGCAAAGATCGGGTGCCTATCCAGAGGATGATCCTCGTTACTATCAGGTGAGATGATGGAACTGAAAATGAAGTTTAGCTAGAACTGCGTAGTTTCTTAAAAGGGATTTATTTTTGAAGCTATTGGTAAGACTAAGAGAAGAGAAACGATGTGTAAGAAAAGAAAACAAAAATAGCGAAGCGCGCAAAGAGAAAAGAATGACGGAAATGGGGAGAGAGTGACGAAAATAAAGCACAGAGTCTTGAACAGAGGTATACAAAAGAGAATACAGATGCTAGCAAGAGTAAGATAACGGGTAAAGCTCTGGCGAGAATAGCGGACATGAGAGAAAAAAGCTCCACAAAAAAAAAAAGAGAATGGAAACATCAAGAGAACAAAGAAGAGGAGTAAATAATTTGAAATCCAGAGATTATATTTTACAAATTTTAAATGCTTTCATATTGTGGATTATGAAAAAGTTGTAAATAACAAGTAAGAATGCTCTAGTCGATACTGCTCGAATATGAGATCCACTGAACAATAAACACGCGTTGGCTGCAGTGTAGATTAATATCGGAACTTAATTGTTTGATAACCTGTCTTGTGGATGGATTAACATCATGAAACTTTTAGATTATGATTATAACATGGATATGCATGCATTTGCCTAGTCTCTAGTATCTGAAATACTCCTTTTACAAAAGTGAGGATTAGGTATCTCTAAAGATGTAGCAGATATAAATTAATTACTGATTTTCGATAATGTTCTCAGTCGAAAAAAAAAAAAAAAACGGAAAGAGTTATTGATTTTTTGAGATTATTACACAATATTACACAGTCTGAGCACTTTACATCTATTGGATATCTAAATAAATGTAAAGTGCTCAGACTGTGTAATACTATTGAACAAAATTTTCGCTATCCGACATATCCTTTTAATGGAGTAAGGTTAATCGTATTATAATTGCCCTAACGAGAATGGAATTTTCGATTGGCATTCATTTATTTTGAAAAAACTCGTATTAATATAAATATTAACCATGAAATTATCTGTGACCGCAGGGCGAGCTGGACGGTCTGATGCGACAACATCCACACCTGGCACATCCCAGCCAGGTGCAACAGCAGCCACAGCAGCCACAGCAGCAACAGCAGCAGCAACAGCAACAGCCACAACAACATTTAATGGCGCAGCAGCAGCGATTTAATGCACGCCAGCAACATATGCAACAGCAGCAGCAACAACATCATCAGCAGCAACAGCAACAACAGCAACAACAGCAGCCACAGCAGCAGCAGCAACAGCAGCGAATGTTGCAACAGCAACAACCGTATCAAGGATCCTCGACACACGCGCAGATTCACTCGCAGCCAGTGCAACTGGGTGGGGGCCGCGGCTACCAAAAGCCGCCGCCGCTGACGCGCAACCTGACGATCAGTGGGGGCCACGCCATGGATGCCACCACCTACAATCAGCAGCAGCAGCAGCAACAGCAGCGGCGCTCCTTGGCTGGCGCACAGTATGCCTCACAGCAGCAGCGATCCTTCAGCAGCTCCGAGGAGGAGTTCCAAAGTCATCTAATGGCCGCGCAGGCGCAGGCGCAGGTGCAAGGACATACCGTTACAGCTGGCAGCGACTACGATGGTGAGTGATTTCGTTTTCTCCAATTTGCACATCCGTACGCCTCTCTCTCTCTCTCTCTCTCTCTCTGTCTCTCTTTACCTATGACTCACTCACACTGTTTGTACGTTACCTCTATTACCCTTTTTCCGTTTAAAAGTCAATAATTTGATTCGCACTAAAGCGCATCTCGCTCGCTCTCTTTGGGTCAAAGTCTAATTAAGCAAGGCTTTTCTTCCCTCTCTACCCATTTCGATATATGTACATATATATAAGGGCCGTTTGGCCCACATATATGTACATATGTGTATGTAAACACAATATATATTATTCTTTTTAAGGAAATAATATAAAAGATATAAATGAGTATGACATGTGACCTATTTCTTGTCCATATATAATTTAAAGCGTGTTCAGAAATATTTATAACCCTACAGCAAAGATACTAAAATCTTGATATGGATTTTGATTAACATACATTTCTATGCATATGACAGCATACATCTAACATGTTAAGTTAAATGAACATGCATTTTTCCATAAACCGGATTACAATCCAACATTCATGGTTCTCCGCTCCCGCTCCGCTTTCTCTCTCTCTTTCTCTCTCTCTATATATATATATATATATATATATATATACATATATATACATGTATCCCTCCACCGGCCTTGTCTTTGATATTCTAGGTGTTTAGATTTTCTATATAAAAAGTATGCCCCATATTTTATATTTTTTTATTTTGTTTTTGTAACTGTTTGTCGCCCTCTGCCTATCTGTCCCTTGCTTCATTCTTTCTATCTCTCTCGCTCTCTCTATTTCTCTTTCTCTCTGTCTTTCTCTGAAACTCTCTTTTGACTCGCTCTCTATAAATTATGTTTATTACATGTTTATATGTACATATATATATGTACATTTATATGTACATATATGTATGTATATATAATCTCTGACTTTCATTGGTTCGTTGTCTTTTCGTTTAGAACTTTTGCCTTTATCATTAATGAAGTTTCTAACTGTTTTATGAAGCTACAATTTTCAACATGTTTTCCATCAATTTTGGTCCCACAGTTTCCCAACGTTTTTGTTTACATATCTAAACATATGTATATCCTATATTTTTAACATTAGGTATATGACGTTAGTTAGATAACATCTAGTTTGAAACTATGCTTTATGTACTTGTTAGTGGTAAATATAAGTTTGTCTTTAAGTTGTAGTCTTAAGTCTTAAAGGGAATCCGATTGGCAACGGAAAACTTTTTCGAATGCCGCACAAAAGGAAACGCGTTGCACAAATAGATGAAACACAAATATTGTTGGCACTTGACGGTCGGCCACAGTCGTAGATGTGGTGGCAACATAAACGAAATAAAATAAAAATAAATTCTTGACCAGGGGCAGAGCATGCTGCATGTGGCAAGTTGAAAGTGGCAAGCTGGCAAGAGAACCGCGTTGCATACTTTTAGGCAAGGCATTTTCCCTTTTTGCACCGTTAAATGCAATCAACATAAATTATATGCAGCAGCGCGACAGTTTAAAGTCGTCAGGGGGCGGTAGGGCGTGGGCCGCGGCTGTGCCACAGCTGACCCGAAAACACATTTCGCCAGCGCCACAAGATATCCGAAAAGTTTGCGGCACAGTTTGGCGGGCAGGAGGCGGTACGACTGTGACAAGTGGCAAGTGGCAACTGCTGCCTGCCTCGTGTTTGGCTGAGCGATATCGCCAGCGACTTTGTCAAGTGCGTTGCTCGTTGCAAATTTATTAGCCTAATTAGAAAGTTTCTTGCTGCCGCCTGCCTCCTGCCCCTTGCGTCTTGCCTTTTTTCTCTCGCCACTTGCCAGATGCAGGCAGCATGTTCCCAACGAAAATTTCAACTTATTTTTTGTGTAAGAAAATACGCATGACAACGGCTGATTCCTGCTGCACATTAGCATGCAACATTTCGTGGCAAGATAATTGTACTTGCCACGCCCCGCCGACTAGAATATAATAATTATTGATTTCAACTTTGCTCACACTCAAAAAAAAAGAAAATAATAAAGCAAAAAGAAAAATTACGAATCCCCTGAACCCTTCGAGCAAATGATATTTCAATAAAAATGCGCGCACACACACACACACGCACATACAAACAAACACAAGCACACACACGCACATATACAG